GTATAGGGGTGTATATCAGAAAGGCACCTTGCGTGCTTCGACTAGACTAAAAGGACGAAAAAGTAATGAATTTAGCGTGGCGTGGGGTTGACGATTTTCCTCTGCATTTATGGTCTTAGGACCACATTGCATTTTAAAACTGAATGTTTTAGTTTACAGAACTAGGCATTACACCTGCTCGGTATGCACTAATTAGGAAGAGCCTTTAATGTAGCCTCCTAGCAACTAGGACACCAGAGGCGGAAATGACGAATCTTAATTTAGTTATCACTGTCAACCGGTCACTGACCGGAAATACGCAAAATTTTAATAGACTAATATATTTGAACTTTTTAATATCCCGAGAAATAAATGCGGTAAATTAAAGCAAATCAATCGGAATGAAGTTTTATGGACTCCGGTCGAAAGTTTATGTGAGCTTAACCCATCAGCTTCAACATATTGACCAAGAAATGTTCATAAACTATCAAGAGGCAATAAGGAGTGTACGCATTTTGAAAGACTTACCAATGGGGTAATAGAAAAATGCTCTATTGGTTGTGCTCATAGATTTTACAAAACACCCCAGACCTACAGTAGATTCCCTATCTCATGAAATGTCCTCTAAGATTCCGAAATCTGTTTTTGATTCGAACAAATTAATTATCGTTGCAATAATAGTCTAAGTGCACTTCAGTTACTTCGGGATGCCGGCTTTTGAACAAACTTTATTCTGACTGTCTGCAAAATTATATTCTGTAGAAATGGCTTCTTAACTGGTATACATTTTCTCCGTGATTTTTACTGTTTCTATAAATTCGAATATAGTTTACTGCGAGAATGAACAAAAATATTCTTTCCTGTACTTGTTTGGTAGCCAATTACGCCTTCTTCAATTATTTCACTCGAAGAATAGGTATTTTTCGATTCAATAAATTGTCTAATTAGGAGGTTTTTTACGACCGTAAAATGTGCATTCATAAACCAACGTATCCGTTCACCTACTAATGCCGCATATAATTTACACAATTGAGTATGCATCCATGGCGAAAGTGTATGAGAACAGTGGGACTTCTTCCTCCCATCGTAGGAACTATTTGCATTTCCTTAGACAGAATATATGCAGCGTGTATTTGGGGTGACCTTGAATTCCAGTGAATGGCCGGTAGAATTCGAAATTATTTAGCGATTAGGAAAGTTTTTTTAAAACCGAAAGACACCCTTTCTTCGAGTAAAAATTGGAAGAAAGTATAATTTTCTACCAATCAAGTATAAGGAGGAATATTTTTCGTTCATATTTTCCATAAAATATATATAAATTTATAAGTTCAATGAAAACTAATGATATAAATGCATACTACTTAAGTAGCCATTTCTACAGAATACATTTCTGCAGGTGGTCAGGAATAGGCTCTTTCAAATGCTGCATCCTGAAGTTACTGTAATATATTGAGATCAGGCTGTAAAATAATCACTATCGCAATCATACGTACTTAATATGTTTGAATCGAGAACACATTTCGGAAATTTGGTTAGCATTTTATGAGATAGGGAACCTATTGTACTCTCACGAATGAGGGATGATGGCAGTATGGAATACATAGAGGTCAGTTTTGTCCTGCTTTTTTTCGAGTTCTCTTACAAAGTTAGC